TTAGACATCAACGCAACACAATTGTATGTAGCAACTCCTCCTCTCACTGAGACTAAACAGCAACCAGCTGAGACGGAACAGCAACCAACTGAGGCAGAACAGCAACCAACTGAGACAGAACAGCAACCAACTGAGACAAAACAGCAACCAAATTAGGACAGAACAGCAACCAACTGAGACATAACAGCAACCAACTGAGACAAAACAGCAACCAAATTAGGACAGAACAGCAACCAACTGAGACAAAACAGCAACCAACTGAGACAGAACAGCAACCAACTGAGACAAAACAGCAACCAAATTAGGACAGAACAGCAACCAATTGACACAGAACAGCAACCAACTGAGGTGCATTTTGCAAGCAAACCTGAGGCGAATAAATCAAGTAGCCAATAAACATCGTCACTTAATGATGCCGCTGCCATAAATTTCACTTAGCCAAAAAATTTTCAATAACAGTGGATAAAAAACAAACAACATCAATCACATCAACAACAACAACGTCAATTGCAGCCACAACGACAGCATTAATTGCAGCAACAACAGCATCAACCACATCATTGACAACTTTACTTACAGATACAACAACATCAATTGCAATAACAACAACATTAATTACAGCAACATCAATCGCATCACTGACAACATTACTTGCAGTTACAACAACATCAATTGCAGCAACAACAACATCAATCAATCACAGCAAAAGCAACCATATAAATCGCAGAATAAATGACATAAATTGCAACAATAACAACTTTAGTTGTTGCAACAACAAAAAATTTCAGCAATAATCACACATGCAACAACATTACCGTCAACAACAACAAAATTAATCACAACAACATCAGCTACAACAACAGCGCAATTATAAATTATAATAACAATATCACAATGAAACATCAGCAACAACAACAACAACATTAACAAAACCAACATCATCAACAACAACATCAACAACATCAACAACATCAACAACGACGTAGCAGTCACTTTTCAAACGCAACACACAAGATTACCATAAACAATTTCAAGAGTCCAAGTTTCGTCAGAGCGGAAGAAGATAGAAAGAATAGAATGACAAAAAGAAAAATGGAAAGAGAGAGTAAGAGAGAGAGAGAAAGGGAGAAAAAGAAAGAAAGAAAGACAAAAAGAAAAGAGCCAGAGAGAGAAAGATGAGGGAGCAGAAAAAAATAGAAGAAAGATTTGAGAGAAGGGTAAATAAAAGAAAAAAATGGTTTGATAGAGAGAAAGAGTGAGAGAGAGAGAAAAAAATGAATAAAGATTAGAGAGAGAAAACAAAAGAGAGAGAAAGAGAGAGAGAGAAAGAGAGCAGTAATGGCACTAAAAAACAGAAAAAGAAATAGAATGTGAAAAGAAGAGAGAGAGAAAGATGAAAGAAGAAAGAATGATGTAAAGAATGAAAAAACTGAGGTTTGGATAATGGGATGAAGAGGTAGGAGAAGAATGAATGATTATCATCGGATGATAACAAATAATACAACAACATCCGCTCCATTAAACAACAATAGAGAATGTTGTTGCTGTAGTTGTTGTTGATACTGTTGATGTTGTTGATCTTGTTGTTGATTTTGTTGTTGTTATTGTTAATTTTGTTGATGTTGTTGTTGCTCCTGCTTCTGTTGTTGTTGCTGATTTTGTTGATGTTTTTGTTGTTGTGTTATTAATGTTGATACAAGTTTTAAGTCGATGACGATGTTGTTGATGTCATGCTTTTTGTGGTTGTTATTATAGTTGAAAATGTTACTACTACCATTTTTACAACGGCAGCAAACAGCAGTAACTATTAGTGCAACAACAACAGCTACTACAACTACTACAACCACTACTACCACTGCCACTACTACTGCTGCTGCTGCTATAAATACTAATACTGCTAATACTTTTACTACTTTCATTTATAATAATGCTCTACTAATATTACTCCTACTACTACTACTACTACAATTAGTACAACTACTACTAATACTACTCCTGCTACTATTGCTACTACTACTACTACTACTACTACTCTACTACTACTATTATTACTATTTCTACTACTACTAC